CCGCGATGCACTTGAGTGAAATAAAGGCCCGGGCCTATATTAGAGAATTTACGGTATGCAACTTGTATGTGATCTCCTGTGTGAACTGCATTCATTCAGCTTAAGTGACCCGCATGCGCAGTAGAGGGCGCAATGACGTAACAAGCCAGTGTGCTCAATGTCTACGGAAGTAAACATGGATAGTGCTGGAGCGCATCTAGCGATCTTTGCAAACCTTAAAACCTCATTCTTTTCAAGATGGTTGAAAAAAATACTGCTCTCCGGGTCATCGTCTGCATCGTGTTTGTTTTTCTTGCCACTTCTGTGTAGCAAGACGCAGAATAGTGACCTTTGTCGGGTATTAATGGCGTTTAGGTCGGATGAAAGCGACCTGGCCGTTCAGACGCAGGTCGCTTTTGAAAAGATCAGATTGGTATCAGATCCAGGACCACATAGCCAAGTGGCCTGGGTCGCATTGGAAAAAATTGGATCTGTGTTGTTCAGACTCTCATGAAAAGATTAGATCCAGGGCGCATGTGGACAAAAAAAAATCGGATTTGAGTCACTTCAGGCTGCAGTGTAAACGAAGCCGAAAAGATTAAAATCTGCTCCCCTTGAACTAAAGGCCAACTTAAAACGGTGAGTTTTTAGAACCATTGATAAAGCCAGCTGTCCTCAAAATGAGACAAAGGTTCTGACCCCTTAGGTCAGTAAACAAGTCACTAAACGAGTTCTTGGGGCAGCTAGAAGCAACAGAAGTTCTGGTCTCAAGCTCCTCCCACATCAGTGTACTCCAGCTCCAACCCTTTAGATCCCCTCTCCTGTTTCTATAGACGCATCCCTGCTCTAGGAGAACTGAAGAAAGTCAATCATTAAATCCAGCCCTGTGGAGGAGGGCTGGACCTTAAAGCTGCAGGGCAGTAGACCCTGGAGTTGAAGACCCCTGTTCTAGGTAGATGAGAAGGAGCCTGAACATTAAGCTCAGCTGCACGACTCCAGTCCTGGTATCATCGTGCGGCTTTTAGGCTACGTTCACACTGCACCCTGAAGTAGCCCAAATACGATTTTTTTGCCCACATGCGACCTGAATCTGATCTTTTGAATGATACAAATCTGATCTCTACAAATGCGACCTGTGTCGCATTCATCCAATCTGTACACCATTAATAACCAACAAAGGTCACTATTCTGCATCTTGCTACGTAGAAGCGGCAAAAAAAATAACCATGACGAATGATATTGCTGAGAGCCGTGTTAACCATATTGAAAAGTTTTTAAGGTTGGAAAAGATCGCTAGATGCGTTTCAGCACTACCATCCATGTTTACTTCCCCAAACACAGAGCACGCTGCCTTGTGACGTCATTACGTCCTCTACTGTGCATGTGGGACACTTGGGTTATATCAATGCAGTTCACACAGGAGATAACATACAAGTCACATACATTTGGATATCTGAACAGCAACGCAAAAAAAAAAAAAGATTTCACGAAAAAATCTGAATTGAGCATTAAAGCCTGCAGTGTGAAAGTAGCCTTGGATGCATGAGCTACATACTTTATACATACTGTATAAATTATATCAGGAGAGACAAGAAACAATCTTTTTTTTCCATTTTAGGGATTTAATGTCAGGGTTTGGTTGAGGTTTTAAGGACCTAAATGCAGAGGCAGGGAGGCAGAGCTGAGTTCTTGTAGTTTTAATGGAGTGTTGACAAGCAACTGAGGCAAAAATCCAACATGAAAATGTAAAACAAACCAGAACCATGGAGACATCAGGGAAAACAAGCACGAGGAGCCAGGGAAAAATGACAAACCAGCACTGAGGAACTGCACTGGAAGAGTATTTATGGCTGAACAAAGACAGGACTAACGAGCTGATTAGGAGCAGGTGTGAAAAGAGGCTTCTAGAAAGGAGCTAGGGAAAAGGGACCANACCTGTACACCATTAATACCCAACAAAGGTCACAATTCTGCGTCTTGCTACGTGGAAATGGCAAAAAAAAAAACAACCATGACGAATGATAATGCCTAGAGCTGTATTAACCCTATTGAAATGTTTTTAAGGTTGGGAAATATCGCTAGATGCGCTCCAGCGCTACCATCCATGTTTACTTCCCTAAACACAGAGCATGCTGGCTTGTGACGTCATTACGTCTTCTACTGTGCATGTGGGACACTTGGGTTATATGAATGCATTTCACACAGGAGATAACATACAAGTCAGATACATTTGGAAATGTGAACAGCAATGCCAATAAAATAAATCAGATTTCACAAAAAAGAATTGAGCAGTGTGAACGTAGCCTTAGATGGATGAGCTAAGTACTTATTATCACACTGTATAAATAATATCAGGAGAGACAACAAACAATCTTTTTAATTTTGGGGATTTAATGTCAGGGTTTGGTTGAGGTTTTAATGAGATAAATGCAGAGGCAGGGAGGCAGAGCTGAGTTCTTGTAGTTTTAATGGAGTGTTGACAAGCAGCTGAGGCAAAAATCCAACATGAAAATGTAAAACAAACCAGAACCATGGAGACATCAGGGAAAACAAGCATGAGGAGCCAGGGAAAAACGAGGAACAAGCACTGAGGAACTACACAGGGAGAGTATTTATGGCTGAACAAAGACAGGACTAACGAGCTGATTAGGAGCAGGTGTGAAAAGAGGCTTCTAGAAAGGAGCTAGGGAAAAGGGACCAACACAAGAGGGCAACAAAGAAAAACCTAAGATAAAACCTAAGAAAAACACAACAAAATAGGAATTAAATTAATAAAACTAGTAAAAGAAAAACATGAATCAACATGAAACTGAAAACTCGAATAAAACTTAACAGAACCAAGACCCTGAACTTTAAGAGATCTGTGATGCAGTGTTTTTTGTTTGCTTTAGACAACAGATTGCAGCTTATAGCCTCACTTTTATCAGTGCTTAGAAAAAATGTGAGGAATGTATGAAAAAGTTTGGAAACCCCTGATCATTTTCATGAGTTTCTTTTTTTAAATCATTGGTTGTTTGGATCAACAGTTTCAGTTAAATATAACATAAAGCAGATTAAAACGGGATGTTTGAAAAGCCAAATGACATTTATAGGATTTACAGAATGTTTTCAAAAAATATTCAAACAAAACCAAACAGGTTCATACATTTGGCCACTATCTGGTTTGAATTAAATACCTTCAACACTAGATAATAGAACGCAATTGTTGTCTGGTAAGCTCACTGGCCCTTTAACTGCACTCACAGAAAATCCAATCAAGAGGCTTTTTAGGTGGCTAATTGCAGTTTTTTCTCCCCTCTGATGTAGCAAAACAAGAGCCTCAAAACAGCTCTCAAATGACCTGAAAATAAAGATTGTTCTGCATCAGGGTTAATGAGAAGGATGCAGAAAGCTATTTCAGAGATTTCAGCTGTCAGTTTCCACCATGAGGAACATAGTGAGGAAATTGAAGAACATAGGTAGAGTTCAATGTAAGACCAGAAGTGACAAGCCAAGAAAACATCAGGTCACAGAGGAGAAGGATGGTGAGAACAATCAAAATCAACCCACAGACCATCTCCAAAGGACTCCAACACGATGCTGCACCGAATAATCATTCAGCATCCTTTGCACACCAGATGCTGCTTGGGATATTGCAGAGGGAGCCTTTTCTGGTATGAACAGTCATTTAAGGTCTGCTAACATTTGGACAAACCAGCTTCATTGTGGAATAAGGTGCTGTGCACTGATGAAACTAAAGTTGAGTTACTTGGACATAACAAGGGACGAAAAAACCACAGCATCCCAAGAGCAACACTTACTACCCAGAGTAACATTTGATGGTGGTTCCCAGTGGTAGTACAGGTTTACATTTTTGTACATAAATCTTGGATGAAAGACAACTGCTGTCTTTCATCGTCTGACATTGAAGCTGGCTCAGAGATCGTCTGCCTGGCTTGTTTCCTGGGCGGGGCCGCCTGTGGAGCTGTTTTTTTTTTACCTTTTGTATCTCGGCTTCTTTTTCTGTCTCCTTGAACCCCAGTTGGCCTCGGCAGATGGCCGCTCACACTGATGGGCCGCAGTCCTAGAAGCAGATAAATAGTCCTAGTTCTGAAACCAGCCTGGATATCTCCCTGTTCATGGTTTTAGCATCTTTCTGGCCTTCACTCGCTGGACCAACAGGTGACCTGGCTCTGCTGGACCTGTCTGACAAGTCTGAGGAGGACAGCATTGGAGGAACTGACCCCAGGGCTGGAAAGTTTTAGAGTTTATTCCATCCTAAATGTCCAATAAAGGTTCTACCTGCTAAGGAACACCTGTTTGTTTGTTCTGGTCCTTTCTGACACTTTAGGCATTCTTTTCACAGCATGAACTGGATCCTCGCTCCAACACAAGTCAGCCTCTGATACCCTCCAATATGGAACCGGGCCGGAAGCGATGGAAAACCAGATTCAGTCTGTCAGTTCGGGAGCCAGCCTAGCTGTTAAAGTTGGTTTTGATTTGTGGAGCATTGATTTCTGAGGAATCCAGTTCAGTAGGTCAGAGGTCAACAAGAAGAAGTAAGAGTCCCACTGATGACATTTGATGTTCAAAAATGCAGAAGCCCTTTGTTTCACGTCTATAGCCAGTATAGCATTAGTTTTCACTCAATTATTACACATTCAGAGGAACCTTTAGAAAGCTCTGGTTTCCGTTGCGGCTGGTTCCTAACGGTGGCTGTTTTAACATGTTGTCCCAAATTTGTAATAAACCTACATTTCTGTTTAAAGTTTAGAAATTTATATTTGGAAAATTTATATTTGGCAAATAGATAAAAACAAAGAACATTTAAAAATATATATTTTCATGTATGTAAATTCTAGCATTAAGATGTTAAAGGTGGATCCAGGTTGGTTTGAGGACAGTCAGGAAAGTTCTCCTCATACAATCAAAGAATCCAAAATGAAGATCTGAGCAGGTGCAGGAAGCTGCTCCTGTTGTCCGGGGTGGGATCAGGTGTAGGTTGGGTAAAGGTTTCTCTGCTGATGGTTAATAATCTGTTGATAATCTGCTGGACTTTATCCTGGAACTGAGTAACAACAGTCTTCTGTGTGAGAGTCCTCAGAGGAACGCGCTGCTGCTCAGATGGAGGAGGACACTAAGGTAAGATCCAACTCTTTATATCAGCTTCTGGCTCCAGATCAGAGAGCGCTTTCAGAGCCTCGGTGCTGTTCATCTTTATTCCAGCAGTGAGTCGTTTCATTTCCTGTTTTATCACATGACCACACTGGTCACGGGTCAGTTTCTGTGTAAAGAAATCTCTGACAAACAAAGAAACAAATGGTCCCAGCTGGATACACCTGTGGACACACCTGGCAGGTGCTCAGAAGCACAGCGAGCTTCCTGGAACAGCTGGCCCAGTTTGTGGGTCACAGTGACACAAGCTTCAGTTTATAGGTTTAAGGCTGATGATTTACAGACTGAAGCTTTCTCAGTCTATAAGAAGCATCTAGAAGCACAAAGACATCCAGAAACATCAGAGGTGGAGCCTACATAAACAGATCCTCCCTTTTTTACCTTACTGTAAGGGTCAAGGTAAAGGCTTACACCAAACACTATTTTTCGCAGCTGGAGTAAATGTTTTCTTTGTTATGAAACAAACATTTTTTAATCCAAATGGAATAGAGAGAAATAATGTAGAGAAAGGATAAAGTGGAGAGTTTGTAGATGGCTTTTAGTAGATTCTGTTTGACAAGTTAATCCAATGAAACAATGGTGACACGTAACTACATCTCTAACAATAAAATATAAAAAACAGATGTGATAACCGGCAGCAGTGGAGAAGAATCTCATTGTTTCCTTTTTGCTGATTCGTCCTCCTCACAGGGTTTACTCCACAGAAAACTGCTTGGTTCACTGTTATCAGTTCTCCTTCCAGGTTTTCCTTAAAATATCAGATTAACTCTTTACGTATGAAGACAAAGAACAGATCTTCCTGCTCTGATTAGTCCAAGCTTTCATAAAATATGTCGCCCTCTCTTATTTAGACAAACGTTTTGTAAATCCAGTCATTGCTTTAAGTTTAGGGCTTCAGGCTTGTTGGTGCACTTGTTGTTTTTTGCAGACCAAAGCCTTATTACTAATGATCAATGTAATAATTTCAAGGGCACCCACATAAAAAATAGCTTTGATTAAAAATCCTCTGCAATTCAGAGGACTCTGGTGCCACTTAATGACTGAGGGAGAAACGCGAGTCATGTATGCGGTAGAACAACTGAAAGCTGGAACAGTGGTTTAGTTAAGGACAGCTGCTAAAGTTCTCATGGATTCAGATACAGCTACGCCTTAATGATGAGTTGCAGCATTTTGCTTCATCCCCCATAACAATGCTGTTGGCTAATTCAAGTTTCCTACGGATCCTGAGCTGCTTTCAGTTTGTCTGGAAGGAGATCAGATGAGATCTGGGGACGTTGGAGCCCTCCATGGCATCTCTACTGTGCTTGGAACATTTTGAGAAGGAAATGTTTTTTATTTTGTTGCTTGAAATGACCGATGGTTCAACCACACAAACCAATTCCAGACTAGATGATCTGGAAAAATCTTCATTGTTTCCATCCATCTCCATTATAGCACGCTGAGCTTGCTCCTACAGTGTTCTCCCTCTGACATCACAACATGGAGATGGGTTTTTAATAGCTGTTAATCAGAGTGCTGCTGAGGAGCTGCAAAATGTAGGATATTAGCGTTAAAAATTAGCCTGTTTTATTCCTAATAACTCAGAACCACCTGATGTGTCCTGCTGTATGATTCTAATGCTAAGTTGCATGAAATCGTTGCATTAAATCAAACCTTTAAAGTTCTTTAATGCATTTAAATATAAAGTTTAAGAATTTCAAGAAAACTATAAAAACGTGTAAAACTGAAGTCTGAATCAGAGGTCCTGGTCATGAGGACCCTGTCCAGCATCTTCCATCTGGGTTTGATTTTCAGCAGTCCTGAGTCTAATCATTGCAAATAAAGCTCCTCAGCAGCCATCTACAGCTGCAGAGGCCTGCTAACCACCCATTAGATGTGTGGTGATGGAGTCATCTGAAACATGCAGGACAGGGCTCTTATCTGTAAAATATTATATAGGAGCCATAAGTGTACATACACCAAATGCCCCATAATTGAGTGCGCCGCCAAATAATCCTGATTTCCCCACCATGCTTGGGGACAAAACCAAACAATCTTCCTGAGTCTTGCTGAAGCTCAGAGTTTGTCAAAGGCTCAATTTCATGATGGATGAGTGCCTCATTCGACCATCAATGGTCCTTCAAAGCAAAATGGATGTCATTGTGTGTTTATATTACCTTGCTCATCAGCATAAGGCAGCATGTCAGACTCCAATAAGTGTGCTGGTGGCCACCATGTCTGTGGGGGATAGAGGAAGTAGTATGGATGGACTTATTAGTTTAAAGGACATCCAGGACAGTAATATATTTACTGCACTGACATAGCTCAGATCTATGGATAATTTTACTAAATTATTTTCATCATAAAAGTTTCTTCATGCAGAGACAGTTAAGTGTTAATTATGTTAAAAACCTGAGAAGGAATTCATGCTGCTAAGGACCAACAGGAACCACACAGAGATTAACATCTGGAATTGATTAAATAACATCATAAAAAGCTGAACATCTTAATAAGGGTTTATGTGGGGAAAAAACAGTCTGGTAAATTGACTTATTAAATGTGTTTTCTAATCTCTCTGCATTATTTTAGATCTTTACTAAACTGCATGCATTTTCCACCTTTGTTGAATAATCTATGCATAACTATAATATTAAATACATATGAATTCTTATGTAAACCATGGAATTATCCCACATTTACTTTTCTTCACTATCATCAGGAAGTCCAATACCGACCCATCTGACTCTGCTGATATAGGAACACATGTTTTATCAGAATGAAGGCTTTCCTGCATTCCAACTAAATGCTTGACTGCTTGCTTCTCCACACACCTGTGTTTTCCCCCACAGAGTCAGCACAGTTTGGAAGATGGACGAGGCCACCGCCATGGCAACGCCAACTCCACTAAAAAACAGCCAACCAGAACAGACACAGCGGGGCTGGATATGATTTACACCATTGAAGATGTCCCGCCATGGTACCTGTGCATCCTACTGGGACTACAGGTGGGTCTGGGGTTAAAATGGTCCAACTCCGTGACAGGATCTGACAGAACCCTGAACAATACCACCAGCTTTTTAAAAATTAAGCAGCATTTTTATCTGATTTACATTTTTTGCACATCTTTTAGTTTAAAGATGAATAAATTTAGACTATTAATTGTCTTCAGTAATTAAAAATTGAGACAAACACCCCTCTCATTTTTTTTTGCCTGATCAAAAGGATTTGTGACACAATGCCGACTGCATCAGTACCGTCCAATGTGGTTCATAATAGTCTTAATAGTTTACACTGGTCCCACCAAAAAAAAAAAACAAACTTTAGAGACTTTTATAAGTGAGCTCTGCCATCAGGACGAGGTTTAAGAGCACAAACATCAGTGATAAAACTGAAGCACTTGGTTTTACATTGCAGCCCCAGATATTCACGCAAAAGATAAGACAAACCATTTACAACGGATCCAGACATCCTTTGTGCTTTCCTGAATGCAGCTTACAGGACCAGGAAAGACTAGTTTTGATAGAAAAACTGTCTGTAACCAGAACACCCATCAGGAAGATAAAACCAGTTCAGAGTCCTGTTTTGAAAAACCGCTTCGTAACGAGCCACAAAGGTCAGTTTTCCATGGATAAGCTTACCCAGACATTCACAGAGTCAGAGGCTTCTTAAATCGGTTAGCAGGTCTTTGTAATCATCTACAAAACAGGGTTCATTGCAGCGCTGAACAAAGTATAGATCCACGTGTTTCTGCTCCACTAAGCAGACTGACAATGTCTGAGTCATCAGCGTACTTAAATATAAATCTACCAGCCTGCTGCAGCAATGCATGTTTGTGTAGGATGAACTCATCCCTGCAGTCTGTGGAGGAGTAGACTTCTCACTCTGATTCCTGTACCTTTAAAGATCTAAAACCTGGTTCACATGGCAAGATCTTTTATTGTTTGGTGATTTCTAAGACCTGAGACCCCAATTAAATTCAGTTTATTCATACAGCGCCAATTCACAACACATGTCATCTCAAGGCACTTTACAATTCAACCAGATCATACAGTCAAATAATTCAAAGTTTTCTACCTAAGGAAAACCAGTTGTTTGCATCGACTCATTGACTCGAAGGCAATCCCTCTCTCTAAGCATGCTTGTAGCGACAGTGGAGATAAAAAAAAACTCCCTTTAACAGGAAGAAACCTCCAGCAGAACCAGGCTCAGTGTGAGTGGATGGAGGATGCTCTTAACCTCCTCCACCTCTGTTATTCAGGGGGAAGAGTTATGATCTATCAACTATTTATCATGCTTCTATGTAAGAACAACTATTAATGAAACTTTCAGCAGGAAAATCATACAAAGAACCAACTGGGCAGTGTGATGCTGCTTTGAAAAAGTCCAGGAACAAAAAGAAGCAAAACCTTGCATGGAACAGGCTCTGACCATAACTGACTTTAGCAGGTCAAACAGTGGAGCGAAACCCCTAAAGCTCAGCTCACATCAATTGTGTGTGATCTCACGTCCATTTAGAGGTGAGATGCTTGTGTTGGAACTGATCGTTGCTTTGTTAGGGTCCTAGGCGTGGTCACTGTGCTCCCAAGCAATGGCGGATGTGACCTTTATTTAACTATTTCCTCGATTACCATTTTGGCTGTCTTTATTATTCATTCATTCTGTTCTTGTTTCCCTTCCAAGAACTCACATTTCAATGTCTCAGCAGCTTGACATTTAACGTCCTAGAGACTCTTTATCTGGTTTTTCAGTCACATCATGTTCTTTGTTCAGGAACTAGAATATGCTGGTGGACGTTTTTGCACCTGATCTATTCTATTCTGGTGAAATCCATCTCGTTTTCCCAGCAGATCTTAAAGTTGTCACTATTTATTCAAAAGAATATTATGATCAACTGTATAAAATGCAGCACTGACATCTAACAGGACAAGTGCAGCTACAAGTCAATTATCTGAGGTCATGAGAATATCATAAGTGACTTTCACCAGAGCTGTTTCATTGCTATGATGAGCTATAAAGCCAGACTGAAACTCTTCAAAAATGTAATTGTGGTGTAAGTGGTTTCTTAAGTAAAAGCCTTCAGGACATATCCCTGTAACAGGGATAGATTAATCCCATCTAAAATGGACAAGATCAAAGGGAATACTTCTTTAAATAACCTGGTTGGAACTGGATCCAAACAAAACAAGTTGAAGGCTTAGATGAAGGTAATAATTTTGCTAACTATGAAAGTTCAACTGGATCAAATCAGGCTAAACGTGCTTTAGATTCAATGGCTACCTCAGATCCTGCCTCACCTTCCAGAGATAAACAATCAATCTAATTTATAAAGATAAAATCATTACTGCTAAGAGCAGGGGTGGGGAAGGCTGGTTGGGGGAACGGATGCTGTAGCTCTGGGTGAGTTTGGCAGTTGTTTATCAAACAATGCCATTCCCTTATTTTATATTAATCCTTTTTCAACTAAATGTTGAATTGGTAAAAGCTATGGGATGAGACACTGTACTGGGAATTCCCCAGAATCCTCTCTACACTGCAAAAACAATCTAGAAATAAGTAAAAATTTCTTATATTTAGTGTATTTACTCTGAATTCTAACAGGTAAATAAGATGATCTGCCTGTGAAATTAGGACTTTTACTCTTAAAACAAGATATTTAGATGATATGCACTTCTAATCAGCCAATACCATCGGTTTTTTTTTCTTATTTTACATGTAAATTGTCTTTTTTCATTGGCAAAGTGTCTCACTTACCTCCTCAATTCAAGAAAAAAAGACTTATTTAGATTGATTTTTTATTTTTTGCAGTGTAAATGATGGTAAGACAAGGAAATAGAAAAACTTGATGGAGAAACTAAACCGTATTGAAACATATTTGTTCGTTAACTTCATGCTGCCATCTCTTTTTTCACTGGTTCACAGCATTACCTGACATGTTTCAGTGGCACTGTTGCAGTCCCATTTCTTCTGGCTGAAGCCATGTGTGTCGGACGAGACCAAAACACAGTGAGTCAACTGATCGGAACCATTTTCACCACTGTTGGAATCACAACTCTGATCCAGACCACTGTGGGTGTCAGGTAAATCCAAGGAGCTCAGATGAGACTCAGTCAATAATAAGACTAGGGGTGGGATATTTATCTTATCATCCTGATTTGCAGTTGTGTAAAGAATTTAGATTTTTGATCTAAAAGATAAATTATAATTAACGGTGATTAAAAACTATAGAAACTGGGTTAATTTACAGAATTTTCTTTTTTTCCCCTTTTTTTTCTATTGGAGCATTGCACAATTTAAAGAATATGACTAAGTATGGTTTTTACAAGATGTTACGTGATATAAACCATGCTTCTTTTTGTAAATGGTGTCCCAAAGAAGCTGGTTTTAATTGCATATATTCTTCAAAGTGTTTGTGGGGCTATGATTGCTGTGGAAAGCAGTCGCAGCCATAGTTACCTAAGAAAGACATAGGACTGCACCTAAAATTGTAAGAATATTTTAGTGCATATCGCCAAGGCTTGATTTAGACTAAAGATAATGTGTGTTTTGCAGGCTTCCTTTGTTTCAGGCAAGTGCTTTTGCCTTCCTGATTCCTGCTCAGGCGATCCTTAGCCTGGACCGGTGGAGGTGTCCCAGTGACGGTGAGGTTCTGTCTTCTAATAAGTTTTCTTTTCTTCCTTTGGTTGGTAATATGCTCACACTGTCATCTTTGTTTTTTATCTGCAGAAGTGATTTATGGCAACTGGAGTGTTCCCCTTAACACCTCCCATATCTGGCAGCCACGTATCAGAGAGGTATGATGGTCTAGCTCAGTGGAAACAGCCTGTGGGCCAGAACCAGCTGAAAATGAGGTTGGATCAGGCCTGTGGAATGAAATTGAAATAGAAAAAAAATCCCATAAGACATGAATTAGTAAAAAGGTGGATAAAGAGTCCAGAACCTTCCTGGAAAACTGGACTATGTGCTGTAATTTCCCAGAGATGAATGGGATACCTATATATGTGGTTCATTTTCAATCATTCATTGCAGTTGATTATTATGCTCCAATTCACATCCTTTCATCTTAGGTCACTTTATAGACCCAGATCAATCAGATCATCCAGTCAGAGTAAAGCATAATCGTTTCTAAGGAAAACCAGTGATTGCATCCATTCACTGACCATGCAGGATTCTCTCCTCCTGGATGAGAAGATAGAGACAGTAGATATCAGCTTTCATTGTGTCGTTGACTCTACAGCAGTGGTTCTCAATCTTTCTTCTCTGAGTACCACTGCAGCATATGTGGGATCTTCAAGTACCCCCATAAAGACGGATGATAAAATACAGCAATATACGCCTATTTTGCCACAAAGATATTTTGCAGTGGAGACACAGGTTTTCATCATGCGTAGTTTAAATGCTGTTTATAAGGGGTTCACTTCTACAGCTACACACATTTGATGTATAAACTGTAACTAAATATATTTTGGATCACAATACCTTAAAACCAAAAATAATAACTGTTGTTTAAAAAAATAATAATATGAACTACTTTGTGGGAAAATGACTTAATAAGCAGAATACTAATAATTGTAGTGATATAAACTGACCTGCAATGAATAAAAACAGCTGGACTGTTCATTAACAAATAGATCCAGGTAACCATCAGATTAGAAAGGTTGGAGACAGGAATATTTCAGTTCAAAAGAGGCTAATGAGATCACATTATGAACATAACTTTGAGATGTTTGGATCAGCAGCAGAGGGAAAAGTCCATTTCAGATCATTTTCTGCATCTACTCTGCTTCTCTGGTCACTGGAATAAATCAAAATCTACATAAGTCATGTTTTCTTAAAATAAGTGCATTTGTTCTTGAATTGAAGAGATAAAAGAGACATTTTGCAGATGGAACAAGACAATTTACATTTAAAATAAGAAAACACAACTACATTGCCTTATTTCAAGTGCATATTATCTAATTATCTTATTTTAATCTTAAAAATACTCATTCTATTGGCAAATTATCTCTTCAACCTATTCAAGTCAAGTATAAACACACTTAATTTAAGAATTTTTTGTTTATTTCTAGATAGTTTTTCCAAGGTTTACATCTAATCTGGGCGAGTGGAGAGAAGCCTTTCTCACACAGATATGCTCTTGTAAAAGGCCACAGAGAGCTAGCATCTTGAAGCCCAACACTAGCTACTTTTCCATGGACACAAATAACCAGACTGAAGGCCTGTGAGAAGGAAGATTTTAATCTGATTTGGTCCGATTGGAAAGAAATTTATTTCCGATGGAAATAGGAGTTTTTTCCTGATCTCCTTTCTGATTGCCACCCATGTAAACACCCATTCGGATCTTTGGAGTAAAATGGAGTAAAATCATCAGCCAGACGGTACTTCTGAGCACCCAACTGAAATGATCACCAAAAACAAAAATATGATGCGACAAAGGTCTATACTAAAAAAAAAAAGAAACCCATGAACAGACAGGACCAAAGGAACAAAGAGGAGCTAAAGCTGAGAAGGAGCTGACAAGTGGGAGTTTGTTTACAAAACAGGATTTAGGATTAATTAATGAAATTAATTATCCAAAGCTAAACTACTGTCAGTGGTGCAGATTGTTGCTCACACTGAGCCTGGTTCTGCTGGAGGTTTCTTCCTCTTAAAAGGGAGTTTTCCTCTCCACTGTCACTGCAAGCATTCTTGGTGTGAGGGATTGCTGAAGAGTCAATATCTACTGTCTGTTCCTGCTCATCCTGTTAAGTCAATGACTGGATGCAATCAGCTGGTTTTCCTTAGAAACGTTGAACCTTTATTACTGGATAATCTGATTGATCTGGATCTATAAAGTGAACTGAGATGACACAATGGTAATTGGAGCAAAGAAATTGAACCAAATTGAAAATAAATCCTGTTCCAGTATGGGGACTACAACATCTTGTAGGATAATTAAGAGGAGAGTAGGACAAGCAGGTGCGGACACAGACAGGCCGTTCTGGTGCTGTCTGGCAGCTCTGGACAGGGCCCATGCTGTACTATCAGACAGGGCCCTGTGTCACCGACTGACCCCCCAGCATCCACTCATCATAGGGAAGTGATATTTAAATGTCAAATCATTCTGGCTTAAACGCGTATATAAATGTAGTCTTTATTAGACGGTATTGTCCCAAAAGTTAGAATATTTTTGAAAAAGAATCTTGTCTTAAAATCTGTTGGGTTTTTCCCGTTATCTTGTGCAGACCAGTTAGTTATACATCAGCTTGAACACCTAAATTCGGCCAATCATATATCAACGGTCATCTGGCAATCAATTTTTTTCGGTCATAGCATCTTGATCCATATGTCGAAGCTAATATACACAACGGTTGAAATAAGAAATAAGAATAATTTACTTTCCCATTGAGTTCCCAGTGTTCATGGGGATGGACGTCTGTGTCTTCAGCAGGCGTAGAGCTAACAGAACTGCCAGCGTTGC